GTTTTTGCCTTGTAATAATATGAGATTATATCTTGTAGTACACAATACGTTACATGTGATTTTTTTTTGAGAAGAAATATTTATCAATTAACTACAATTTGCTCGCTTTTCCGTTTATTATTTTAAAGTTATCCGGAACTTCATACGTTATTCTATCTTGTAGATTCATTTACAATTTATAGGTTAACCAATAAATATAACAAAGGGCACATCGATCACTGTCGCCTCGCATCAAATACGCTTTACCTCGTCTCGTCTCGTCTCTCTTCCGCCGTCTTCCGTCTGCAGACGATATTGAAACTCTATTCGGTAACTGAATTTACATGTCAAATGTCACGTTAACTCTATTAAAATGTACAGAATACATACGATCCTTTGCATATTTTAATCTAAAAAGCAATTTCCTCAAGACAATCCAGTTTATAATAGGACCGTTTGTTTTAAGAGGCAAAGGCACTTCTGTCTTTCAGCCTAAATTGTCAATAATTTTAACATTTATTCTACAAAACACAGTGATCAGTTAAATGTGTTAATGGCCAGTCACAGAATAAATAAAAAAAAACAATACAAATTGATACGACAAACGCGTGCATTGCTTGCGTGTTTTGAATTGGCAACTAATGCAGGTGATGTTTACACCTGTCTTATTACTATTAAAAAGTTAAGTAACTGATGTATATTATAGAAATTCGGCACTTTAAAAACATTGTGTAAAGAATAAAGACAAGGTTTTGTTCTTGTTTTTTTGCTGTTAAATTTGCGCAGAAATAAGCAAGTAAAGTATTATCTGTGGTTCAAGTAGACATTATCTCAGTTTTGTCAACGAGAATAACAGATGCCAATGTTTTTTATACACATGTTTCAATCGTATTATCAAATTTACGCACAATAAAATATCGGAAATGCGATCTAAAACTCGCAACTCGCACTCGAAAACAATGATTATTCTGAATCTATGTGTAGTAAAATAGCAAAATATTTTTTTTTATTAATTAAAACACAAACATGGTAAAAAAGTTCCAAGCGTATATTTTTATGAAAAAAAATTGTTGAGCCTGTATTATGGAGGAATATCCTTTTGGGAGGGTAAATTTTAATTACGGGCTTTTAATTTTTTAACTTCGCATTGGTAATCTCAAATCCGCTTAAAATTTACAACATGATTTTGAGGTTTTACGTTCTGTTCGCAACATTTTTTCGTAAATTGTATAAAAAATTTCTTTCTTTACATTTATTTCGAACATTATAATAGTGTTATATTTGCGGCACTTACTCTAAAAATAGTTTTTTTTTAAAGTTTGACTCAGCAAAGTACATACAATACAAAATGTTATCCCATATTCAATGCCATCATAAAAAGCTATCGCTTGTAAACGTTATAAGGAACTTGGCCAACTAACATCAGTTAACTACACAAAATACATGTCTCCAAAGTTTTGCAACGTACACAGTCTGGAGTGTTGACGGAACTTTTGAAGGAAGAAAATTTAAACTACACGATAAGATTTTATTGAGATTTTTTTAGATGAAAACAAGCATGCAGCTTGCGGCTCTAGAAAAACCAAAAACCCGTGGATTTTTTTTTATGTTGTGTGTGTGAAAAATGAAATGTAAGACGAATTTGAGTTATTTAATTTCATACATTTAGATTTAAAACGCTTTTAATGATCAATAAGTTGTTTTATTTTATTTTATTAGCTAAAATTAATTATAATATACGAGTAGTTTTCGAAAGTGTCTTATTCCTATTTACGCAATTTCAAGTTGTGCTGTTTCTTTTCGATTTACTAGTGTATAAATCTATAGTCAGAACACCTTGCATCACTTATCTTTTTTTCTGCGAAACGGAACACTCTATACATTAACTAACAAAGCGGTACCCATTGCTTTGTTACAAATATAAAGCCCTCTCCATACAATCAGTACAATAAGCCTTGGCGTTTCATCTGTCGTGTGGACAATAATACCACGATGTCTATAGAAATCTTACAGATTATGTTTAAAAATCTTCAATTCTATAATGTATCAACATAAAATGCACTCACTGATGTTTATGTCTATAAGCGTCAACTGGTACTTAGCTTTGAAACTGCGATTGTCCAATTTTCCTTGTGAAGAGAAAGAGAGACCAGAGAAAAAGAGAGAGAAAAAGAGAGACCCAGATGTAGTAGTCGATTTAATTTTGACATCCACTTTAATCAGGAAAACAATATACAAAAACGAAATCTTATTAGACTAAACAATTTACTTTTCTAATTTATTATTAATAAAGCACAGATTATTAAAAATGAGAATAACAAAGTTCTGATGGCTGCGTATCCTAAGGGAACGCCGCACAAGATTTTCCTTGTCTTAACTTAAACAAAGATAAAGTAATTTGTGGCTTCTTGTTTTACGTGAAACTTTCACGAGATTATCATTTCTTTCTCCTAATTTATTGTATTTTGTCATGTGTTTTCCAAGCTTCGAAACCTATATCAACATCGAATGTTAAACTGTTACTGATTACACTCTCGAAACATATTATTATCTCTCTTTTTTTGAAGACAATGACAGTGATCACAATATATGTTTATACATGTTCTGCTGTGAAAGCCCACACATACGAAACTTCCAGAAATACTTAATTCCTTCTTTTAATGTGACAATCGCAGAACGTTTGATATCAAAGTGGTTTTCATTATTTTTATACTGTGTAATAAACTGTCTTCAAGTAGCGTTCACCGCGCCATCTGTCAGCAACCGCAGGGAATCATCCACGTTTCCTGCAGACTATTTTTACGAGTCTCCCGGGATGGAATGGAGCGGTGGATAGTTTGACGTCATCGTTCCATATAAATGGCTTCTATTTACAATTAGAATGCATGGAATAAATCTCTATTATGAGTTATTAACATCGATACAGTTCTAAGTTCATTTTGCACAGGAGTCGTGTCTTCCGAAACTACGCTGTTGTTCCTAAACACATTCTCGTTTGCTATTTTATTCTATAAAAGGTAAGATAAGGGTAAGGGATGTAAGAAAAAAGGTATTCCTCAAATAATAATGCCACAGCTACGAGCTTGATATAATAAAATACAGTCGAGGGGAAAAAACATTTCATACAAAAATCCTTAGCACCGCCTACGCTGTTTGGGATTTTCGTATTTTCTCATTTCTCCAACGGACTACTTAGAAATTTTTATCATACCAACAAAATGCGGTTACTGATTCGGAGAAACAAAAACCTAATTCAATTATGAATATAGCTTATCAAATTTTTTTTTTTCAGAAATAAATTGTTATCAAAGCAAATATGTCACCTTATTTGAACACGTACAGGCCCTCTTCAAATATCCCAGCGTAGATACAAGATACGATAGATGTCTTTTTAAGTCAATATTACTATCAATATTTGCTCTACCAACACTGTCCTCGTAAAAAACTGATTCCAAGTATACGATAAATTGACGATAGGTTCGTACTGACAGATGTTACACGACGACTATCCATGCAATGAGAACGTAACATTGGGCAAACTATCAAACCTCTCGATCCGACGTTACACATCGTAACCGCGTAAAATCAGAACACAATTTTATGTTTGCGAACCATTACAGATAGAAAGTTTCCTAAATCACTTTCTCACCTATTCATAAGACTAAGACATCATATGACAAGAAAGAGTTACATTCTGAAAATAATTTAAATTGGTAATTTTAAAGTATTGACAGACGATGGGCCAAAATGATATGAAGGATTTAAACCTTGTCGAACAAGCCTCTACGATTCGTGCTGTGTAAAGACTTAGGACGAAGAAGGCCGACCAATAACTGGGAAAAGTCGAAGACAGAAGAAAGTAATTTTAAAGTCTAAGGTTCGATAGTCTCTTTGTCTCTAGGATTAACTATTCAAGTCCAGATAAAGCTCTAGACCTAATTAAATTTAAGCTGCAAAAGTCTCGCGGCCATAGCAACAGCGTTTTTTTATGTCGCAATACCGGCGTTGCAGCGAACGATATAAATTTTAGAACGCGAGAAAAATTTAATGGAATATGCTAAAATATGTGACGTTTATGCTATTTTTAAACTTAATTTACGGTGTTATATTACAGGCTTATTATTATACCGCTTCGGTAATAGATTTCCATTTTATGCAGAATATTTTAAACTAGCTGTTGCTCGCGACTTCGTAAAAAAAAAAAGTTAGCCATATAGCCAATGTTACTCACAGATATTACCTTTCTAATGGTGAAAGAATTTTTAAAATCGGCCCAGTAGTTTTTAAATGAGTCAAATCACATACAAAAACACAAATCTTTCCTCTTTATAATAATAGTTTAGATAAGTTCTCGAAAAACTAGATATGCATACTTATATTTATTCCTTTTTTTTATAATATATTTCATATGTACATATATTATTATACTCAGAATTTGTTCTCTGTACAAACCACATTCAATTTAGCAATGCGCCTTTTGGCAGAAGTAGAGCATATGTCTATATTTTTGGAGCAGAAAATTCAATTCCGTTAAGTAAGATCTACCTCCGTTTCTTAACAGGCGTGTTTCCTTATCTCTACAAATGTACAAGAGATGAGAAACATTTATCCTATGCCATTATTTACGCGTTTGGGATCAGTATGATAGAATGAATTAGGAAGCTATTTGTCATTGCAATACCTTAGTCTAATAAATCATGTTATTACTGTTATAACATGAAATTAATCTTAATTCTATCGTTATTTTAATATTTCTGGTAGAATTATAATTTATTTTAGTTTGTCAAAATGAAATAACAAATAATAAATGTAAAGGATCTTTAGTTAAGTATTCTTTAACGAAATCAACCTTCCCCAGAAGTAGCGCGAATTAACACAATTTAATATTGCAACACCAATTCATATTTCAAATACTTGCCTCTGTTAACTCTGTTAACAGCTCAAAAAGGTTTTTGCTTTTATATTGCAATTATGCAAAAGTAGAATAATTCATCTAGAAGTTAAATTTATAACAAACTTACCCATAAATCGCAGCGGCCCCGGCGATAGCGCCCCCGCACTGCGCGGCCACGTACAGTGCTGCGCGCAGCGGTGATACCCGCCGACGTACGCATAGCGCTGCAGATACTGCGGGATTTACGTGGGCACCTGTACAAGAACACATGACATTCTAATCTGCAATTGAACTATACCTTTTTTGCATGAAAAGATGTTATTCATGAGTCAAATATAAGGCCCGCTACACACCTTCAGTAACTACCCCTTTTATCAAGCAGTCGAACTGCACACTTAAAACTAAAGTTGTGTAGTCGTCTTTAGGTAATTTCTTAGTTTTACAATAGTAATTTACAATTACAAAAATATTTTTTATGTAAGTGGGCAAACAAAATATTTTACCAATCTAGTAACTACTTGAGATAAGATTTTATGAGGAATTCTAAATATTTATCGACTTTTGAGTTGAATTTATTTCTCGAAATTGTTTTCATGTATCAAAATTAAAAGGAAACCCTAACATAGTCAAGTTTATATTACATCCTTCATGTTCAGTTATATTGAATTTAAAAAGTATAGCGATCCTTTTCCATGTTCGTGGTCGGATAACATTTCACACCTGAATGGAATGTAAGTTTTTTTACAAGTTCAACTTAATGTTTTCATACATGCACCCATAAAGCCATGGCGGACAAAAGGAGCTCGGGTAACGCAAATCTTAATGGCCGTCGAGAGGGGTTAGCACACACCATAGATTCACAGAACTTCAGGTTACGAAATAAAAATAATTTTTACTGCATATTTCAACTATTTTTGAAAAGATCATAAAAAATGTATTCAATAAAGCAAGACCTCTTGATAGAGACAGTCGCTATAAACAAACTGATACGCAGAATTCCTTTTTCTGTACATCCTACTATCCATTAAAGGTAGAACAACGGAATGCGCCATTTTAGTCTTATTAACTAGCTTTTGATCGCGGCTTCATCCGCGCAAAGATAAGAAAAAACTAGTAACCTAATAAATGTAGTATGTCACCCGGAGATAGTGTAACTTCCTTATAGTGAAAAAATTTTTCAAATCGACTCAGTTTTTAGAGCCTATTCAATGCAAACAATCAAATCTTTCTTTATTCAGTATAGAAAATAACGTAAAACATAACAAGAAAAAAACTACCTCCGTAGGTATCTATGACTTAAATTTTTAAACGCATTGTCTGAAGGAGTCAAAAAAACGAACGTGTTAATTCCTTAGTCTCTTACGACGTATTCTCACGTAGAAGTACTAAACGCGACAATGCGGACTTCCAGACGATGCAATTACTCACGTACAAAGCACACGTCAATTATAAATTCTAAAACATGTCTTGAGAAAATTATATCCACGGAGATGAAAATAACTTGAGAGAGAAATCTGATACTTTCGCCGAATTGTAACTGATATTTTAAAAGGAATTAAGAAGTTAAAGGTTAGTATGGTATGGGCATGCTGTGAGTATACGCATGAGGCAAGGAGAACTTTAATTATTAGTGTGGACGTACACCGGTATAGGTCTAGAAAGAGATGGATAGATTACGTGAAAGGTGACAAGTGATGACAGAAGATCAACATGAAGGACGAAAACATGACGCGCTTACTCTACGTGAGTGTGTGTGAGATGATATTATAAATGCGAATGTTTAGATGGATGGATGTTTGTTAGAGTTTGTAGCCTAAACGGCTGAACAAATTTTCAATGGAATTTGGGAGAGATGTAGAGGATAATCTAGAAGAACAAATAGGCTACTCGCTTTTTGATTCCACGTGAATAGAGTCGCGGGCGAATGCTAGTATCAATAATAAAATTGTGATACAACGGTTTAAAGTTTCGTCAAACACAATAACTTTTGTGTTAGGAAGCACTGGGTGAAGAAATAGAGAGTAAGTAAAAAATAACCAACGTAAAGTAATACAATGCAGTGCAGATACACTCCTTATAGAAGTCTGCAGTATCATAAAATAGATTTTTTACTATTCTCCGTGCGCAGGACGCAGTAAGGGAATTAAGATTTATCGAGTTCGTGTCGCAACGAAATAATTTTATAAACTATCCTCCTATACAGTGAACTTCAGACGAAGACATTAGGAATTATAAGAAAAATATGTCAAAAATATAGCTGAATTAATAACCTCACTTTTTTGGGAAATCTTAAATTTAAATGTTATACAACAAAGAAACTTTTTTATTACTAACAACCTAAAATTCATAAGAGTTCATATGAATTTTTATGTTCGTTGCACCTGGACCCATCGTAAACTGACGACGTAGCAAAAACTTACAAACACGTGTTTCGTTTGAAATGTTAAGTAGACTCTATGAACACTAGTTCTCTATAAATGAAATCAAAAATAATATTAGGAATATTATACTAAACATATAACTAACGAAAGCTTGTTATGTGATAAACAATTACGATCATATCTCGTTAAAGATAGATTACTAGCGTAGATTACATTAGTGTGCGTTTCGTCCGTGTTTCCTAGGCTCCGACCCTCGATGCATTACAAAAACAGGTAGCAAGAACTTCACTATAATGGAGGTAGAGGCGAGATACTAGAGGAATAACAAATGTCATAGAGATGAAATTTTAGTATTCAAGCTCTGTAAGCCGGAGCAGCGGAAATTCCAGTAACAAATCAAAAGAGAATTTTTAAAAGTCCACAAAGGCCAGATTTCCTCGATTCCGTTGAATATTTTTTACCATTTCCGCAGTGGCTACGTTGTATATTTTAAAAACGTAAAAGGAAGAATTGCTTTTCACCTAGATACATAAATTAGTTTCTAATAACTTAATTCTTGTTTGAAAAAAATAAAAGGTTTAAAAAAATAACGATTTAAATGTAAATAAAAATTGGAAAGTATTTTTAAAAGCTAAATAAAGCGAACATCGATCGAAACATCGGAGTACATTAGTACGATCTTTAAATAGGGATGGGCCGTGATGCTCACTTGTTCAGTCATTAGTGAAAATTAGGGCGAGCGACCACCGCTTGAACTTTTAAAGATTTATAACATCTCGCGGACATTAGCTATAGCCCGAATTAGTACTCGATTGTCGAGGCGATCACGATGCCACGGACATTATGACACAATTTAAAATGTCATTCATTGTTCCCGCCATTAATATGTGGGGTTAACGGGTGAAGGGTGCATACACGTGTTGTATCTATAAATATTAAAATTATTTGAATCGTATATTTATTACATAGACAAAAATTGAAGACGGAAATGAAAAACATAAACTCACTAAATTAGTAAGATAAAAAGGATGTATAATACAACAGTAAGACAAGCAGATGCGAGATATTTTCGCCTGATGTTAGGCGCTTGTTAAAAATCAGATAATTAAGAACATCTGCGTGTTGCGAGTCGATTTGTAACTCAACCGCTAGTCTGCTGCTGATGTCTGCAATTGAGACTAAATTACAAGCATTATGCAGCCGCTAATGGACATATAACATTGTAAACAATATTGTAGAAATGTATAAAATTTAAATTAATTAATAACAAATTTCGTAAAAATAACATTCAATATTAATCGAGAAATTCGCCAAAGATTTTGACTATCTGAAATTTTAAATTGAAAAATAAAACAAAAATACTTAGCAGAACACGTGGCCGTATGTTGGCTGGGCCTTTGTTTTTTTTTTGTTTTTATACCAAACCCGGCGTAGAGCGATATCCTCTTCGGACAAACAGCTGCCAGTATCCTCGCGAATAACGGGTTTATAAATTATATTAAGCACTACGTTTAAATGTGTATGTGCATCAGGTTATAAACAGAGCAGGTTCTTTTAGATTTTTACGCTGTTCGTAGAGTAATGCTAAAATATAAATTAAGACTTACTGAACGTACGTTTTCATAAACTATTTTTGAATTTAAACATTGTGGACAACTAAAATAGTAGCTTAAAAAAATGGTCAACAAAATTATTGGATTCGAACTTGTAACCTTGTTTGCGCAAGGTTACAAGTAGACGCTTATATTAAAGTTAATTTTCCACAATAAGACCTTTAGTAAGGACCTTTTTCGATACCAGAATCGCTAAGCTCATTGACCTTGAATAAGATATAATTAAGCTTTTATGTGCAACCTGTTTTGTACACAAAGTATTTCAACGTATAATTTTTTTCTCTTACCAGATATATGAGCAAAGCATAAAGTGATGGTGGCTATGGCACAGCCGGAAGCGAGCGCGGTGGCGAGCAACACTGCTGAGGCGGAGGCGCCGACGCCGGCGCCGCCCGCCGCCCCACACACTATGAATACGTAGAGGAAGGACGCCGCGCACTCCGCCAACACTGCCTTCCACAATGATAAAGTCCTCACTTCCAGCCGCGCCGGCACCTTACCCGACATCCCATCCGAATTCGCATCTTTACGCATACACTCCAATTTTTCAAACAACGTAATAATATGCTGTTCGATATTATCGTCTGTAATATTAAAAGTTTGTTCACCCATTTTAAAGGTAAAAAAAAAAACTAAATGTCATACATATTTTTCACACGAAACTGTCACGGACTTTGCCACTTTAAAAAAAAAACTTTTGAAAATGCGCGCGAAACGATCCAGTCACGTATTCCCGCCTACGCAGTAGCGCGGTCCGTTCCGAAGTGAACCAACGCTTATGCTGAATGAAGGAATACTGAATGAATGGAGAAGCGGAGCCGGTGTCGGGCGCACTGGGCACACCGCACATGTGCCCCCGACACTTGTTACGCCCCCGCCCCCGCCCCACGGGACCTGCACTTTCAGCTAGGGTGAATCAAAATCAAATCATACGAGCTAGCCAATTGAAAACACAATAAACTTAATTGCAATTCCAATAACAATTACGATTCTAAAAAATGAAGTGAAATTGTAAATAATCAGCACAGATCTTCAACTAAGATATTAAATCATATTTAGGTCAGTAACATCTATTATAAGGATTGATTGCAAATTTCTGTAAATGTGGTGAAAATAATGTAACTAAAAAAAATTGTAGCATTGTAAGGTTACTACATTAAGTAATTTTTGTATTCTGCTTAGACAAATATAACCTAAATAATTCATTGATATACCAATATAAAATAATTGTTTCGTCATAGAATCTCAAGAAGTTCAAGATGCGCGCAAAATTGAAGTCTGTACTGTGAACAACCAATTCAATAAGTGTCTCTGTACACTCCGAATGTACAGTAAAAACTGAATTAGAGGAGTATTGCGAGCGCAGTACGAAAACAGACAAACAGACAATGATGGCAAAAATTCCGTACGTTTTACTCGTAGAACCTACACATATGTACATATGTAAGTATACAGCAAGAAAAAGATGTGAATAAGTTGCTATCTTATATTAATAATGTTTTAAATAACGTCCTAATTCTATTGGTGTGGTGCGGCTTTAATTTTCATCCCTCGGGGAAAAGGGTCTATTCTTGGTTACAAACCAAATCGATGTGAAAAAAAAACAAAATTCGATTGTTTAGAATATTTTTATTGTAAACAATTGAAATACGCGCAGTTATCCATTATCCAACCAATTCATTTTTTCACAAAATTAGGTATAACGTTGGCAATCAATGTATGAAATAAGATTACATTTGTATGCCATATATGATAAAATTGTCGTTACTGTTATTTTAACATTTAGTTCGTTTGTAATTGAAGTTTATTTAGTCAGGACAGTAATTTTTTTTGACGGTTTGTAGTAATAATTAATTTCATAATTTTCTAAAATTCCCAAGATGTTACGAAAAGGCAAGTATCCACAGCACAGCTTTATAACTTTTGTTTTTATAAAAATGACATTTGTTCAACGCTATGGGAGGCAATAATGTACAGCCACGATAATGCACGACCCAATAATG